ATAAGCTTCCGCTCATTTAGATCCTTGTTAATCTCTTTGAATTAATCATGGCTATATGGTTTTAGATCTTAAGTTTTTGATGTAGATCTAACAGGTCGAATTTGGTAAATATTTTTCAAATAGGTCGTTTTTTTAAAATAAGTTTAGGCTAAATTGAAATTTTGTCCTAGAACAAAATATTGGGTCGTAGATATATTTCAGCTGTCACATTTTGCATCAATCCCAGCATACATATGAGGTTACAACTGTACTTGTTATATATTTACTATCATCTCTATTTAAAAGAGTGCTAGCTACAATCGCGAGTGTACAACACTCACGACGTAGGAGGGACACGAGTCTCTACTTGTCCTTGTAGGGGCACATGTCCCAGCCACAACGCGAGTGCGGTGCGCCGGTGGCTGTGGATAAAATTACTCTTTCTATAAACTAGTGTGAACACCGTGCGACAATTTTTCTGTCGCTACAGTAATACCGGTTTCAACTGCTACATTGTTTTGAATTTTTTGGATTGTTACAGTAACATTTTTCTAAGAAGCATATTGCCTAGTTTCATGTTTGTTACCGTAAATATTACTGTAGCATTACTATAGAATGAATAATGAATATTAGGTTCTCTCCTTTCTACGGAGGAGTAGATATATGAACTTGAATTTTAGCATATTAATCTAGTGAATTACACCGCATCTCGAATCTTTACCGGAAGGGGTTTGGGGTTTAGGAAGAGGAACTGTTAAAAGAGTGCCGGTTATACGTTGCGTTTATTTGCAGCGACCGGTTAATTAAATAGTTCCCTGGGCACAGATTACAGAACCTTCTACCAGCTTCCACTTCTTTCAGGTTCATCTTGCTCCCATTTTAACCGTTCCCCTTCGTAAACCCCAAACCCCTTCCCCAAGCTTGTCGATATCCAAACAAATTCCCCTGAAAAAGAAAGGAAAAAAAAAAAAACCTAGCCGCTAAAACCGTCCTGGCCATTTGGGTCGCCATGGTGTTCGATCGGCCGCTGCTGGAGCTCGTGCGCTCGCGCACCGCCGTCCGCCCTCCGCCGCCGCTCGGCCGTGCGACTCTCGTCCGCGCCGCTCTCTCCCCCTCTCCGTGCGTTCCCGACGTTGGAAGCTTCAGCGATCAGCTATCGCCGTGGATTGGGAAGCGAGATGACATAATGGCGATGGTGCGCTTTGGTCGCTGCTTTCACTCTACTGTTCCTTCTCATTCGAGCTATGGGGAAACCTCTCAGGTGTATGTCGATTCCTCGCTTTGAACTCAAGTTTGATTCTTGAAAAAGAATATCTTTTTTTTGCTTCTTATAGGCAGTATTTAGAGTACTATCTATAACGGTAACTTTGTTGACGAGCAAATTTTTATTGTTATCTGAAATAGCATAGTTTCGTTTACTTTTGTTTTTTCTCGGGATGTCGACTCATACTTTTGCTGTCAATTCTTCCACTAAAGTTAAGAGTATTCTTCGAGTTTGGGATACCCCTCTAGAAGAGGTGATGTTCCTTCTTTAATCCATATTATCACAAATTATTCACTGTTTGAGTGGATTTTTCCATCTTTGATCCCAGATAAAACACAGATGGGATTTCTCAGTTAACACATAGTTGGGCATTAGGCTAGAAGATTTGAATATCAAGCTAACTATGATGAAATTCGAGATTAACACGACAAATTTACGCATTAGCGAAATAGTTACCAAAACAACAAATTTCAGGAAATGCACAGAGATAGTCTCTAACAAGTTAACTTTAACGTAAATAAGTAAGATAACTGTTCTTTTCTAATGGATGTTGAGTATATCCTTGACAAGTTACAGGGGATGTACTTACATAGCCTCTAACAAGTCAAATTTAATGTAGAAAATAATCAATTATTTTCTTTTAATGGATGTCAAGGAGTATATACTTGGTCAACTCAAGTGTAATCCCTCTTTCCTCTAGGTTTCCTACCCATGCGGTTTGTTAGCATACCTTGGTGAATTTACACTGAATCGTCAATTAAGTTATTATGGGTGATTGGGTGTACTCGGTGGCTTGTGGTAACTGCAAACCAAACAAATGCTACAAACTTATCCATACATGTAAAGAATCAAACATTTATATACTGATATGTCCTTTGTGATCATTGCAATTCATATTGTTTTGAGCAAGACTTGAAGTTATTAGCATTCTTTCTCAAGGATTTTCGTATCCACTTCTACATATTTAGTTAGTTGTTACTTGTTGCTGAGTGTGAGAAACGTGACTTTAAAAATAATAAAATATTCATGAATGGGTAGGTGAGGCATTGACAAATGAGCTGCTAACTTTGGAAAAAACAATCCCAAAGTAGGTAGATGAAGACCTTTTTTTTTTTAAGTCACGTTTCTCACAAATCTCCACCTTGACTTTGAAAATGAAGGTCTTCTCTTTACTCTTGCTGTCTCGCCAGAAGCCCCTTACGGGCTTAACCTTCGCTTTGTCGAACTCCAAGCAATTCGAGACAATGCTCGAACTTGCGCGAAGGTACGGGCTTCGTCATCATATCTGCTGGATTATCTGCGGTACCAATCTTCTCAATCCTGATGACTTTAATTTCTCTGATAAAATGATACCTGACATCTATATGTTTGGTTCTTTCATGATACATCTGATGCTTCGTCAAATGTATAGCACTCTGGCTGTCGCAAAATACCGTAGTAACACCTTGGTGTAAGCCGAGATCTTCAACCAAACCTCTCAACCAAATGGCTTCTTTCATTGCTTTGTCTACTACAGAGACAGAGTACATGGCAGTGACAGAAGCAGTGAAAGAAGCCATTTGGTTGAGAGGTTTGGTTGAAGATCTCGGCTTACACCAAGGTGTTACTACGGTATTTTGCGACAGCCAGAGTGCTATACATTTGACGAAACATCAGATGTATCATGAAAGAACCAAACATATAGATGTCAGGTATCATTTTATCAGAGAAATTAAAGTCATCAGGATTGAGAAGATTGGTACTGCAGATAATCCAGCAGATATGATGACGAAGCCCGTACCTTCGCGCAAGTTCGAGCATTGTCTCGAATTGCTTGGAGTTCGACAAAGTGAATGTTAAGCCCGTAAGGGGCTTCTGGCGAGACAACAAGAGTAAAGAGAAGACATTCATTTTTAAAGTCAAGGTGGAGATTTGTGAGAAACGTGACTTTAAAAAAAAAAGGTCTTCATCTACCTACTTTGGGATTGTTTTTTTTAAAGTTAGCAGCTTATTTGTCAATGCCTCACCTACCCATTCATGAGTATTTTATTATTTTTGTAACTTATAAAAGGGGGGGGGTGAGAGGAGGTGGTTTAGAGCATCGAGGCAGTGAGCATCAGTCAGAGAAATTCACTAATCACCAAAGAGAAGATTACAAAGAGGAGATCACTCTCTTGCCAGAGACTCACACAAAGAAAGAGACAAATTCTTTCTATCTTACTCTCTTCTCTCTAAAACTCTTCTTCTCTCTCTTTCTTTTCTTTCTCCGACTGATGCTCACTGTCTCGATGCTCTAAACCACCTCCTCTCACCCCCCTTTTATAAGTTACAAAAATAATAAAATATTCATGAATGGGTAGGTGAGGCATTGACAAATGAGCTGCTAACTTTGGAAAAAACAATCCCAAAGTAGGTAGATGAAGACCTTTTTTTTTTAAGTCACGTTTCTGACAAATCTCCACCTTGACTTTGAAAATGAAGGTCTTCCCTTTACTCTTGCTGTCTCGTCAGAAGCCCCTTACGGGCTTAACCTTCGCTTTGTCGAACTCCAAACAATTCGAGACAATGCTCGAACTTGCGCGAAGGTACGGGCTTCGTCATCATATCTGCTGGATTATCTGCAGTACCAATCTTCTCAATCCTGATGACTTTAATTTCTCTGATAAAATGATACCTGACATCTATATGTTTGGTTCTTTCATGATACATCTGATGCTTCGTCAAATGTATAGCACTCTGGCTGTCGCAAAATACCGTAGTAACACCTTGGTGTAAGCCGAGATCTTCAACCAAACCTCTCAACCAAATGGCTTCTTTCACTGCTTCTGTCACTGTCATGTACTCTGCCTCTTTAATAGACAAAGCAACTGTCGACTGTAGAGTCGCCTTCCAACTAATGGCACTACCTGAAAGAGTGAATATATAACCTGTCAAGGATCATCTCTTATCCAAATCACCCGCATAATCTGAATCAGAATAGCCAAGTATTCTGCAATCTGAGTCTGTGTTCCTGCCAAAATACAAACCAATATTAGCAGATCCTCTCAAATATCTAAGTACCCATTTCACAGCCTGTCAATGGACCTTTCCAGGCTTATCCATGTACCGACTCACAACACTGACTGCATGTGAAATATCTGGACGGGTGCAAATCATCGCATACATAATGCTTCCAACTGCACTCGCATAAGGAACATGAGACATGTACTGCTCCTCCTCCTCAGTCTGAGGTGACAAATCTGCTGAAAGACGAAAATGAGCTGCAAGCGGAGTCTTCACAGGCTTGGCATCAAGCATGCCAAATCTCTCCAACACCTTCTTGATGTATTTCTCTTGAGATAGAAATAAACTCCCTTCACGTCTGTTCCTGTGGATCTTCATCCCCAAAATCTTCTTTGCTGCTCCCAAGTCTTTCATCTCAAACTCATGTTTGAGTTGAGATTTTAACTCGTTAATTTCTGACATATCTTTAGTTGCAATCAACATGTCATCAACATACAAAAGCAAATATACAAAAGAACCATCATTGAGCTTTTTATGATAAACACAACTATCATATTTACTCCTAGAGTAACCATGCTCAAATATCAAATCTCAAATACCACTGCCTTGGAGACTGCTTCAACTCATAAAGAGATTTCTTCAACCTGCACACATGATCTTCTTTACCTTCAACAATGAATCCCTCTGGCTGATGCATAAAGATCTGCTCCTCAAGCTCGCCATGTAGAAAAGCTGTTTTCACATCAAGTTGCTCAAGCTCCAAATTAAAATAAGCAACCATGGCAAACAACACGCGGATTGATGTGTGTTTTACAACTGGAGAGAATACTTCATTGAAGTCCACACCTTCGGTCTGATTGTAGCCTTTAGCTACCAAGCGTGCCTTATACCTTACAGAATCTGTATCCGGAGCTCCTTCTTTCTTCTTGAATACCCATTTACAGCCAACGATCTTCTGTCCCCTTGGTGGCTTCACTAACTCCCATGTCTGGTTTTTGTGAAGAGACTCCATCTCTTCAGTTATCGCAACAGTCCAATTTGCAGCCTCCTTGTATGTAGAAGGCTCTGGAATCTCAATCGATTCTGCTATACTCAAAGCATAAGCAAGCATGTCTGCATAGCGTTGAGGAGGTCGGATCTGCCTTTTTGTTCTCCCAGTGGCAATATTATACTGTTGCTCTTGCGGTGTATCAGTATCTGAAGTTGAACTTTAAAAAAAAAAAGGTCTTCATCTACCTACTTTGGGATTATTTTTTCCAAAGTTAGCAGCTCATTTGTCAATGCCTCACCTACCCATTCATGAATATTTTATTATTTTTGTAACTTATAAAAGGGGGGTGAGAGGAGGTGGTTTAGAGCATCGAGGCAGTGAGCATCAGTCGGAGAAAGAAAAGAAAGAGAGAGAAGAAGAGTTTTAGAGAGAAGAGAGTGAGATAGAAAGAATTTGTCTCTTTCTTTGTGTGAGTCTCTGGCAAGAGAGTGATCTCCTCTTTGTAATCTTCTCTTTGGTGATTAGTGAATTTCTCTGCTGTTCTCGCCCGTGGACGTAGGTCATACTGACCGAACCACGTTAAATCCTGGTGTGCTGTTTTATTTGTCCACTCTTGTATAGACATCTTTTGTGTCTGTGAAGCCCCTCCGCTGCAAGACTGAGATTAGTATTACTTAAAACTACACCTTTTTTCCAACAGATCAATGCGGGACAATTTACGGAGATGGCATGGGAGGGGATCATTGGTGCAATAGATGCAGCAAAGGAGTGCAAGCAACAAGTAGTGGAGTCTGAGCATTTGATGAAGGCTCTTTTAGAACAGAAGGATGGTTTGGCAAGAAGAATATTCACCAAAGCAGGAATCGACAACACAACGGTTTTGCAAGCTACGGATCAGTTTATTTCAGGGCAGCCCAAGGTAAAAGCAGTTCTTCTTATTCAATGTAATCGAAATATGACTTGTGAGGGACGTAAAAATATTGTTATTTCCATGATAGGTTACTGGTGGCACTAGTGGGCCAATAATTGGTTCAAGTTTCAGTAATCTCTTGGACAATGCCAAAAAGCATAAGAAAGATCTGGGTGATGATTTTTTATCAGTTGAACACTTTATCCTAGCATTTTACTCAGATAAGAGATTCGGTGAGCAGCTCTTCAAGAATCTCCAGCTTTCTGAGAAGGCATTGAAGGATGCTGTATCAGCTCTACGTGGAAACCAAAGAGTCACTGATCAGAGTATGGTTCCTATTCTGTTTATATTATAGTAAAATCAGTCTATTTTGTGATTGTTCCCTTTGTTTGCATATCATGGATTAAGTTTATTCAGCTCAAGACAATTTTTTTGGTGGTATGTGCATATGCATCTGTTTCACAATTGAGCCCAACTATAATAAATGTCTTCCTTCGAACTCTACAATGCCATCTTTGCTTTAAATTGTTCAAGGAGAAGTAACTATCAAATGGTGGTTGTTTCTACATGTTGAAGCCTGTCAATTGTATAAATTTGACAATATTTGCACAAGCAGCAATTGTTTGCAAGCAAATAAGCAAATACCAGTGCGGTCAGATGGCCATTCGTCTACTTTCAAGTCGAAGTTTATGGTGCTTCAAGATGATCTTAAAGTTCTTATTATGTTTTGGGATTTTATTTTGACCAAGTATCCTTGTATAATTTGGTTATACTGAATATAGTGCATATTAATCTATTTGAGAATTATCACCAGTTGGCAAAGAAATTTGCTTTAGGTTATCTTGTCGTTTCCAATTTGACTTGCTAGCTTCTAGTAACTTCACTATTTTCTCCCTATAATTGGTGACGTTCTTTGCAGTCGTTGTTTAGGTTTTGTAAATAAATATCATGTGATTCTAGTCTTTGTGTAGGTTTTGTAGACAAATGTCATGTGTTTTGGTTGTGTATTTTGTTCACAAGTTGGAACCACAAGGAAAAGACTGGAGTACAAGTAGCTTGCATGTGTCAGGTTGTGAATCAGCTTCCCCATATGTGTATCACACCACTTGACTTTCCTAGCCTGCAATGAAGGACTTAGTACACTATGTTGACCCTTTTTTCCATATCCCACTTCTTCATTTTCTTTTAAATTTCTTTTTTTTTCCTTTTCAAATGGTAGTCTGGCCACATCAGTTTTTTGCTTTATGGAGTACTTTCTAACCATCTATTTCATATGCATATTGGTGTGACTTTGGCTGTAGATCCTGAAGGAAAGTACCAGGCACTAGATAAATATGGAAATGACTTGACGGAACTTGCGAGGCGTGGAAAACTGGATCCCGTCATAGGTCGGGATGATGAAATACGGCGTTGCATCCAAATATTATCTAGGAGAACAAAAAACAATCCCGTTATCATTGGTGAGCCTGGTGTTGGTAAAACTGCTATAGCTGAAGGGTATGACTTTTCATTTTGTTGTTACATGATGATTAGTCCTTTTCTTTGTGCAGTGTCAACTGTTCTCATTCTGAACTAGTCTTTTTATACTTGTAACCTTATTATCAACTAATTATAATTCTGCTGCGATATCTGCGGAATTGCTAGCGCTTTGTTGGAAGAAGATTTGCATGTCTTTATTTATACAATCAATGTCAGACTCATCACTTACATAATTTTGCAGATTAGCTCAGCGTATTGTGCGAGGCGATGTTCCTGAACCTTTGCTGAATAGAAAGGTAATCCTACTTCCCGTGCCAATTCTTTGTTTTATTCACTTTGTTTCTTCTCTTTCTTTCATCTTTGCTTTTCCGATTGATTTATTAAATCGAACGCCATTTTTAGCAAATAACCTTTAGCATTAAATGATGGGCCTTATACACAATCTGGTAGTGTGAGCCTTACTCATAATTTGGTAGCGCACTCTCTTAACAGAAAATGGGTTATTTGCACTTTAGTACCTCAATATTTCACCTTTTTTTAACTGTGATATTTTAATGTTCTTTTCTTGACAATTTGATACCTAAAAGTTTTCAAATTAACATCATTTGATAATTTAAAGCCCTAAAGCCCTAAGTTTGTTTCTCACTTTCTCCAAATCCTAAAAACTGAAATTTGGAAAGAAAATTTGTTTCTACTTCACTTTTATATGTTGATATTTGATATTCTTGAACAATATTGTCTCTTTTCTTTTCTTTTCTTTTCACTTTAGGGTGTGAAATTTGCAAGTGTGCTCATTCTCTTGCCAAACGTAATCATCTTCTAGGTTTTTGTTCATCCATTTGCTTCTCTCACCTAATACCCCCTCCGATATGAGTTCTTTTACAGCTTATCTCATTGGATATGGGTTCACTGCTTGCTGGGGCAAAATATCGTGGTGACTTTGAGGAGAGATTGAAAGCTGTGCTAAAAGAAGTCACCACCTCAAATGGTCAAATAATATTGTTTATCGATGAAATCCACACGGTAGTTGGTGCAGGTCAGTTTTTCTTCCAAGGATGTTAACTTTGAAGCCATAACAATTCGTAATAGTTTTGTATTTTTGGAGAAGCTTAACTTGATACAAATGATTATATCAAGGAGAAATTGATATTTCAATGCATCCTTGGATTTTGATGTAAGGCAACTTTGTAATTGATGTTTGGTGACCAGAGTTTGCACAGTAAGAACTCTCCCATAAAGAAAATCTTAGCATGTCCATTTTATCCAATCATGTTCTGATACAAATTACGAGTCCATCCTTAGAGAAATATGTGCAGCTGACTAGGTAATTAATGTCTCCGCTCACTAGATGAAGTAACCATGTGATACATTTACTAGACGGTAAACATAATAGTACGCAGATGCCCTTTCAGATGCAAGACACCATCATGATGTAATTGACTGCTTTCATTAACTTAGAAATGTTACCTTAACATATCATGATAAATATTTATGCCTGGATACTCTTGGTTTCTGTCGACATATCAACGCCTTATCAGAGAAAACACTTGCTGCATGATAGAAGTAGAATACTTCGGATCATATCTTTTTGGTAGTTCAATAGTAAAGTTATCATGCACATAACATATAATTAGATTTTAGACTGCAGATTAAAAATGGATGTGACTTAGTTGATGCCAAATCCATTAGACCTTGTAAATCTATGATACTTATGAAGCACATCTCCGACCTCTTGACTTTGTCAAAATTATCTTGAGGTATCCAACTGCTTGCAATCTAGATCCGCATAGTGGTGAGCCTATGCTGTTTGACGATACAGTTATAATAACAGGACCCAGTTGAGTTCCCTCCGATACTGCAGTATATGATAGCATTGGCACATTCGAAACATAGCACATTCCTTTTATTTATTTACTACATAATTTTTACTTTATCTGAAAATACAATGCTGATGTGAACTCATAATAATGCATTTCCTTTTCTAGCTCAGGTTCTTTCAATTCTCTGTTTTCACCCCATTAGGCAATTTCTATTCATCTTTTACTCTTCTGTGTTGCTAACTGCTACAGGAGCTACTGGTGGAGCAATGGATGCTGGAAACCTGCTTAAACCGATGTTAGGTCGGGGAGAGCTTCGTTGTATTGGTGCAACAACATTAACTGAATACAGGAAATACATTGAAAAGGACCCTGCTTTGGAGCGTAGATTTCAACAGGTTTATTGTGGTCAGCCTTCTGTTGAAGATACCATATCCATACTCCGCGGACTTCGTGAACGCTATGAGTTACATCATGGTGTTAAAATATCAGATTCTGCTCTTGTTTCTGCTGCGGTCTTATCTGATCGATATATTACGGAGCGTTTCTTGCCTGACAAAGGTATCAGGACAAACATTGTAGTTTACTGGACTACTTCTTATGTAACTTCTTTGCATTATGGATTACATGTGAATATCTCTGTTTGATTTATATTTACAAATGAGGTCTCCCTGTTGCACCAAACATTAATATATAGCTTTCTAGATTTCCTCTGGAAGCCTGTAAGTTGCCTGCTGTTTTACGGGCAGTTAAACAAATATTTCAAAGACCATCAAATTGAATGCTATTTCGAGGAGCCCCGCTCCTCCCCAAACAACAACAACAAAAATAAAATAATAATAATAATAATAATAATAATAATAATAAATGAATAATACACATAAGTTTTCTAATAGTTGTTGAGTTATTCCTGTGAGGGACGTCAGTTTGGAAGTTCTCCATGATTTTGATATGAAAATGATGATAGGAAAGAGCCAAGTCGGAGATAATGCAGGTTGTATTTTACATGAAAGTTATTGGTTTTTATGTTTCCTTGTTCGTTAATTGTGTGATTTGTTTCTAGATACATATCTCCAACTAACTCAGACTATCTGTTGCAGCCATTGATCTTGTTGATGAAGCAGCTGCAAAGCTGAAGATGGAAATAACATCCAAGCCCACTGAGTTGGACGAAGTAGATAGAGCTGTATTGAAATTGGAGATGGAAAAGCTATCGTTAAAGAATGATACTGATAAAGCATCCAAAGAACGCCTTAGCAAGCTGGATGCTGACCTTGATTTTCTGAAACAAAAGCAGAAGGATCTCGGACAGCAGTGGGAGCATGAAAAAACTCTAATGACCAAAATACGGTCCATTAAAGAAGAGGTAATACTCTTTCATAGCAGAATAATGGTACATATGAATATTACTGCACCATAATTCTTCAATACTGCAATATTATTTGATATTTCTGTAGGTTGATAGAGTGAACTTGGAGATGGAAGCAGCTGAGAGAGAGTATGACTTGGCTCGAGCTGCTGAGCTCAAGTATGGTACCTTGATTTCTTTACAGAGACAGCTAGAGGAGGCTGAAAAGAACCTTGCTGAATTCCAAAAGTCAGGCAAGTCCCTGCTTCGAGAGGAAGTAACAGATCTTGATATCGCTGAAATCGTCAGCAAATGGACTGGTATTCCAATAACCAATCTTCAGCAATCAGAGAGAGACAAACTCGTTTCTCTAGAGCAAGTCCTCCATAAGCGAGTTGTAGGTCAGGATATTGCAGTCAAATCAGTGGCCGATGCCATCCGCCGATCTAGGGCAGGGCTCTCTGACCCCAACCGCCCGATAGCAAGCTTCATGTTCATGGGTCCTACAGGTGTTGGCAAGACTGAGCTGGCCAAAACCCTTGCTGGTTACCTCTTTAACACTGAGAATGCTCTTGTAAGAATTGACATGAGTGAGTACATGGAGAAGCATGCAGTGTCTCGGTTAGTTGGGGCCCCACCGGGCTATGTTGGATATGAAGAAGGGGGGCAGCTCACTGAAGTGATTCGAAGGAGGCCATATTCTGTAGTCCTCTTCGATGAGATAGAGAAGGCTCATCATGATGTGTTCAATATTCTTTTGCAGCTGTTGGATGATGGAAGAATTACTGATTCTCAGGGGAGGACCGTTAGTTTTACGAATTGTGTTGTTATAATGACATCAAATATCGGGTCACATTTTATTTTGGAGACTCTTCGGAACACTCAGGATAGCAAGGAAGCAGTTTATCAGCTGATGAAGAAACAGGTGGTGGAGCTCGCCAGGCAAACTTTTCGTCCTGAGTTTATGAACAGGATTGATGAATATATCGTGTTCCAGCCTCTGGACACCAAAGAAATTAACCGAATTGTTGAGATCCAGGTACTTACCTTAACTGCTTTTTTGAAGTTCTGCAGTTTAGCATTAAACATAGAACTTGTTATAATTCATCTTGCTTATAGTTACGCTTATAGTTAAATTGAAATTGGTTCCCGGTTAAGTAGTCTTTACTCTATTTTCATCTTAGGAGCAAATATTCTGCATATTTGGATACCCCACTCCTTCAACTGGATTTTTATTGAGTTAGAAAGAATACGTCTGGTGGAATATTCTGTGGGTCAAAAAGCCCATAGTCACTTATACATGCAGGTTACTCGAGCTGCTAGTAGTGATGTCCATAAAAGCGATAATCTCCTTGGTTTCTGTTTAGATAGGCTTCCTGAGAGATCCTAAACTGATGAATTTTTTTGGACGTATCTGATTTAATTCATAAATCTGTCATTTTGTTAAAAGCTACATGCTGTATTTCTTGGATGATGTTAACATTGGTTCCATATCTAAGCTTACGGTTATACTCCATTTAAAGATAGCTTTATATCCCTAAATATCCTTGTAGTCAAGTGTAAGAAAATTCTGGTGAGAATAATCAGCTAGGTCAATGAGAGTGACCATTTGATTGGGCTGAGACCTTTTATAACATTAACCACTATACTTTGCAGCTGAACCGGCTGAAGGACAGGCTCAAGCAAAAGAAGATTGATCTCCATTTCACCCAAGAAGCAGTCGATCTCCTTGGCACCCTTGGTTTCGATCCAAATTATGGAGCAAGACCAGTGAAGAGAGTTATACAACAAATGGTGGAGAATGAAGTGGCTCTTGGAGTTTTAAGAGGAGACTTTAAGGAAGAGGATTCGGTGATTGTGGACGTCGATCTTTCTCCAGCATCGAAAGACGTTCCTCAAAATAAACTGGTTATCAGAAAAATAGAAAGCGAATCCCTTGGAGATGAATTGCTTGCAAATGACTAGAACACTTTTGAGGTATATACGTTAAAATCTTCCTTTTTTTTTATTGTTCTCTGGTCCTTCGCGTTGAGTCTCATGACAAATTTACTTGTAGACTGTTGTATCTGACCTGTTTCAATAAACCTAAGTTACATGTATATATCATCTTTTGGGAGTTAAAATAATTGCGTTCTAATCAGTAAAACAATACGATGATTGTTGCTGCTTACTACGCATTAAACTATTTAATGGTCCCTGCAAGTGGCTGTAGTAATGACTAGGTTGTACCACCGCGTCATTAAAATGAATTAGTGCATTGAATTTAAAGGTTCCTCTCTCCTTGGTGCATCGATTACTCTCAAAGTGCGCGCGGACCACTTGTTACCCGTATCCTCATGATTTACCTTATCTTTTGTAGATATCATTATCTGAGCTGCGTATAATATTTATTTTGGATTTTGGATTTTTTTAGCGTGTCCCACTGTGTACAAGCATGATCCCCCTCCAGTATGAAGTTGCCTTAAATTTCTGAATCAATACTAGCAGAGTCAGAGACTAGTACCTGCCCGTTATATTTCATATATAGAAAATCACATGCGGAGGTCAGTGGAGGCGTACCTAGTATTTTGTTCTGGTGTTAAAAGGTTCTTTGAGACCCATGCTCGAATCTGGCTCTTACTCTGAATCTGGAAATTAATTCCCCTTCACAGGGGTATTAGATGACCGTATTGTAGACCCATTTAACAATTTTGCCCGTATTTATTCTGCCCGTATCCTTCGGTGCAGCTTCTTGGACTAAGCTATTTTGGATCGTTTTTTGATGGTCCCTTATCGTTTGTAAGGACGTTTTGTTCCCACTGTGGGCCCTCAAGTTTTTTTTTTTTTTTTTTGTTGGGTAAATTTGACTGATTCACGTTAGTTGTACCCTTTCCGAAAAGGAAAATTTTTTTAAATAAACCTGTTCATATTTTTTTTTCTTCTAAAAATAGATTATTTTGAGTTTTATTTATAAAAATAGACTCATTTTATTTTAATCTGGTTCCTAAATAGTCGGGATTGTCAACCCGACTATTTAGGAGGTTGTAAACCCTCAATTATAACCCTAAACCCTAACATTTTATGTACTAAATAGTCGGGGTTGACAATCCTGACTATTTAGAAACGGGATTACGACAAAATGAGCCGACTTTTGTAAATAAAACTCAATTGGGGTTTATTTTTTAGAAAAAAAAGGACAAATTTTTTAAAACAACTGTTTTTAAAATTTAATAAGTAAAACCGACCGCTTCAATATTTTTTTAGCAAAATCGACCCCCTCCTCTCCGCCTTCAGCTCCTCGCCCCGCCACGTCGCCTCCTCCTCTCAAAAAAAACCCGATATCCAACTCCTCCAACCCAATCACCGATGTCCACCATCTCTTTCGCTGGCGCCAGCGGCCTGAACAGCGGAGACGAAGGAGTCGGCGAGGAGACCCAGAGACACAGGAAGAGAGGGAGGAGTGAGAGGAGGTGAGGGCAAGGAGCTGAAGGCGGAGAGGAGGGAGCGGAGCGAGGAGGGGGACGAGGACGTCGTCGCCGAGGTCGATGGTGGAGACGAGGTCGCGGAAGGGGGGCGACGTGGCGGGAGACCCAGGAGGAGAGGGAGGAATGGGAGGAGGTGAGGGCGAGGAGCTGAAGGCGGAGAGGAGAGGGGTCGATTTTGCTAAAAAAAATTTGAAGCGGTCGGTTTTACTTATTAAATTTTAAAAACAGTTGTTTTAAAAAATTTGTCCAAAAAAAAATATGAATGAGTTTTCCGGAATTTCTTTTTGACTAGGGATGTCTTGGTTTTTAAGGATGTTTTGGGAATTTTAAACTTGTGCATCGGTTCGGTGATTTTAACGTCTCCCATTATTAGAAGTTTGGTAATTGTCTTCAAATATGCAACCGAGAAAGGAAAATAGGTAAAATGGTTGAAGGATCGAAGCCGACGATGTATATGGGGACACATGCGGATCATTAATGAAGTACAGCGGCATTAAATGCGACCACGACCAGAACCCATTCCGCGAGATGGAAAAGCCCGAGATCCGAGAAACGTGAATCCCCCCCGACTCTGGAGCTTGTTTAATCAAAACTGTATCATTACTGTCACACGAAATCCGTCCTAGGCGTTACGTGGAATTTTTTTAATCTAGTTAATGTTTAGAACAAATTTTTAAAACAGTCTCAAACCAGTTTTTAATTTTTAAAACCGACCCATTTTTTTTTACCAAAATCGACCCACTTTTTTGCCACGTCAGCTTAATCTCATTCCTAAACAGTCGGGGTTGGTAACCACCAACCCCGACTGTTTAGGAGGTTGTTAAACCCTAATTAGAAACCTTAAATCCGATTTTTTATACCTTAAATAGTCGGGGTTGGCAACCCCGACTAATATTGTTGCCCCTTATCCTGAATGAATGGAGGCCTACATCAACAATTGTTGGCGATTCCAAACGTGAGGATGTCTCGAGAAATTAAAAGAAGCGCCACCTTGAGATTTCACGATTGAGCTATAACTCAATTGTGCAAAATAAAGGTTTTTTTCCCCTCCTCGATTTCCTAAGAATAACAACAACGGGTATAAGCTCCGTCTCATAACACCGATAAGTGTTGGTAGACGACAGGAGAGAGAGAAAAAAGTGCTCGAGTCTAACAAAAAAAATAAATTAGGATGAAAAACTAGCTTATAAGCTCACATGTACGAGCTAAGTCTCGTTTATAAAAATATGAGAAATAAACCATGACGGAAGGTACTAAACCTGCATAAAAAAGACAGAGACATTGTAATAATAAAAAAAAATCTATTATTATGCGTGCTCCACAAAATAAACCCAGTTCACAGCAGAGTCTGTTCCAATATTCCCCCTGCCGCCAAAAATTTACCCTTTTACCTTTTTAACTCCGGGGTTCGCACACGAAACTTGAAGAAGGTTAACTTCTTTTCTTCACAAATATCGGCCTGCTACGAGTTTTAACGCACGTGTCAATGAGCGTGACAAAATAAAGAGACGACACAAACCCACCTCCTCCCCTCGATCCCATCACGTAAAACCTCCGACTAACGAAAATCCTCACTCTCTCTCTCTCTCTCCGCTCAATGTGATAAATCCCATGGCGAAATGCGCGGCGCCGCCTCAGGCGTCTCCGACCTGCCGCACTCCGCGTAGGCTCCTGCGAGCTCGGTCGCCTGCGGCTGCAGCCCGCCGAGCGACCGAGGCCGCAGACGCGCGGCGAAACCCTCCTCGGTCCGCAAACTGTCGGAGCTCGCTCAAACCAATTCTGCCGACCCGGATTCTGTCTCGACGGCGACGAGGACGCCGGATCCCGAGACAAGAGGAAGATACCGCAGCTTGGAGGAGCTGAAGCGGTTGCGGTGAAGGGGCTTCAGATGGAATGCCGCGACCGGCCGGCGAGCGGCTTGCGCGGCGGGTGAGGACTGGCCGCGAAGGGACGAGGCCGAGGCGAGGGAGACGCTGCGATGCTTCGGGGCGATTCCCGCCGTTGATGCGAATGATCGATTCCGATGACGCCGAGTCGCAGATCTCGGCGCTTTACGCTTTGCTTAATCTTGGGATCGGAAATGACTTGTAAGTAATTTTTCATCAATTTTCTGAAAAGAAAAAAAAGTGTATTTTTTTTTTAAATTTTTATTTACACACTATTACACACTTTTGAATTTTTACACGCTTGACATCATCTTTTAACTTTCACACTGCAAAGTTTTTTTTTCGAAAAAGATACTAAAGTGCATCCAATTTAACTTTGAGAATATCCCAACTCAATTTTTTTTGTTAAAACTTTTATTAAAATTTGGGAATCATCGGAATATTTGTTAGGGTTTGGTGAATCAAAGTTTTTTTAAAAAACTTTGAAGTGCACTTTAGGTGAAAAATAACTAGGGGGCATCAGAGTTAGAACTCTAGTAAAATTTGGGGTATTTTAAGTACTAATAAACCGGAAGCAATTATAGTAATATTAAAATTGTGGAGTGAAATAAAAAAATCAATATGAGAGAGTTGTGGGGTGAATTATCAAATACATACAGATTCAGTGAGTGAATTTGCAAATATGATAGATTTGGTCGGTTTACATGCGAAAAAACACAATCAATTTTACCATTTTCATCACTTTTGGAAAATTCCTGATGTCTCTTTTTCCCCCCCTCCTCCTAATAATTTTAGGAACAAAGCAGCGATAGTTAAAGCAGGATCCCTCCACAAAATGCTAAACCTCCTGAAATCAAGAACCGACCCCTCGATCTCCGAAGCGATCGTCGCCAACTTCCTCAGCCTCAGCGCCCTCGATTCGAACAAACCCATCATCGGAGCTTCGGCCGGCGCCGTCAAATTCCTCGTCAAAACCCTCCAGTTCCCAACCTCATCCCAATCCCGACTCGACGCCCTCCGCGCCCTCTTCAACCTCTCGATCTCCGTCGCCAACGCCCCTCTCCTCGTCGAATCGGGCCTCGTCCCCCACCTTTTAGCCGCAATCGGCGACATGAGCTTGACGGATCGGGTCCTCGCCGTCCTCACGTCAGAAGGTCGAAGGGCGGTGACCGGATCCAACGACGGCGCCCCGATCCTGATCGACGTGTTGAACTGGATCGACTCGCCGGGCTGCCAAGAGAAGGCGGCGTACGTCCTGATGATGATCGCCTGCAGATCCGAGACGGACCGAAACGCTATGACGAGCCTCGGGGTAAAGTCGGCGCTCTTGGAGCTGGCGCTCGTGGGGTCCACTTTGGCCCAGAAGAGGGCGTCGAGGATCCTTGAGATTCTGAGGATGGAGAAGGGGAAGGAGGCGAGCGACGGAG